CTTTCAATGTAGAGTGATTGCCTTGGAATCTTGGGATAGTTGGATTCCAAAGTGGGTGACCTGAGGTCGTGATAATTGCACCTTTTGGGGAGACACTCAGTAACTCTTTTCAGCCAGAAAGTTAAGAAGTGTGTTGGTATCAGTCTTGGAAATATTGAGGGAGGGACTGCAGAGGAGTAAATCATCTACATATTAGAGGAGAGTTGAAAGAGGGCGGTTGAGGCCCTTTAGATTGGCTTACAATGTTTGACCAAAAACGTGTGGGCTATCTTTAAAGCCTTGAGGGAGGACAGTCCATGTTAATTGTTGGGATTGTTGAGTATCTGGATCTGTCCAGGTAAAGGCAAAGAGGTCTTGGGAATGCAGGGCTAAAGGAATGGTGAAAAAGACATCCTTTAAGTCTATAACAGAAAAATAGGAAGTTGAGGCCAGAATAAGGAACAGGAGAGTATATGGGTTTAGGACTAGTGGGTGAATGGGTTTGACTGCTTTGTTCATGAAACAGAGATCCTGTACCAAACGGTAGGTCCCATTGGGTTTTTTGACTGTGAGAATGGGAGTATTAGATGGTGAATGTGTGGGTCTAAGAAAACCCTTTTTGAGAGGGCTTGAAATGATGGGTTGTGGTCCCCTCTGACTAGACATCGGGAGGGAATATTGAGGTTTGTTTGGAATGTGACAGATGTTCTTTTAAGTGGATCTCAACCAGGGGCAATTGAGCCAAGGATGGAGTCTTGGTATCCCAAACTAATGGGATTACTTGATCTACCGGAAGTGGGAGGGAATGATTTGGCATAGCCTGTAGGGCAGCCATGGCTATAACTGAGGGGAGGGAGGATGGTGAAGCAGTGGAAAGGAAATCATGGCCTTAAAATTAGGTAGAATATCTCTGCTCAAAAGGGGAATGAGGCACTGGGGCGTCACCAGGAAGGAATGTGAGAACTCGTGGCCTGAATGTAAGCAAAGTAGGGGTGGGGTGGATCTGGGATGTATTATTTGTCTGCCTACCCCAACAATAGGGGACCGAGAGAGAAATAAGACTGTCAGACTGAGAATATTGCTCCAGTGTCTAATAAAAAGAGGATTTTGTGAACATCGACTATCATTTGGACCCTGGGTTCCTACATGGTGATTGGACTTGTTGGGACAGGAGTCTTGAGGCCCCATCAATCATCGGTGTCCAGCACTATGAGATTATAGGGGCTAGGGTCTGGTCGCCTACCCCTTTGGGTAGGGGACAGTCCGAAGCCCATTGGCCCACTGTGGAACGTTATGGGCAAGGTTTGGTGGGTGGCCTTAGATTGGGGCAGGGGCAGGCCTTGGCCCAATGTCCCTCTTGTCTGCACCTAAAGCAGGTCCTGGAGGGTCCTTCCTTTTGGGGACAGCCATATAACATAGCAGATAAACTTTGGGAAGGCCCACGGAGGGTCTGAGCCAACATCTGGCACTTCAGACGTTTAGCCTTTTCATCTCAGTTATGATAGACCTTAAAAGCAGTAGCCAGGGGCAGGGGTTGTGTCTCAGTGGCAGAGCACTTGACTCGCACATGTGAGGCCCTGGGTTGCATCCTCAAAACCACATAAATATAGATTAAACAAAATAAAGATAAATTTAAAAAAAAAACAGTAGCAATGATATCAGTCTGGGAAGTGAGGGGGCCATGTTCTAACTTTTTAAGTTTGATCTGAATATCAGGAAGGCTTTGAGCAAAGAAATAGGTCATCAATAACTGTCGGCCATCTGGGATTTCTGGGTCTAAATTAGTGTTTTGTAGGAGAGTCTTGGTTAGTCGGTCCAGAAAGGCTAATGGGTTTTCATTTTTATCTTGGATGATCAAAGTTAACTGCTTTCTGGGCCACCCATTTTAGGCCCGCTAGAATACAAATGTTGAAATGATCTCAGTTTGTAATACCGTTGTTGGTGTTGTAATCCCAGAGGGGATCTTGGTCTGGGACTGTGTGGGGCCCAATGGGATGTGCCTGATTGGTCTGATAGATCGTGTCTGCATGAGTGCGAGCCTGTTCCCAAACCCCTCTAGGAGCAGAGACAGGGGTGACAGTTCAGGGACTGGGGTAGAAGATTGAGGGTCAGGACCTATTTGAGCTCAGCGATAGGGTGGAGGTTCATCAGCAGGGTCAAGAGTAGTGGATGAGTCCAGAGGAGGAGAAGGTTGGAAATAGGTGGTTGGGGGTGTTGGTTTGCAATCTAGAAGAATTTGTAGAGGTCTGCAACAGGTGCAGAGAAGAGAGCAGGATTGGATCGAAGCAAGGAAAATGTTTGAAGATAGGAGATCTTTACCCATTTTTTTCGAATGCTCACTGTAATTGTAGAGACCCCTTAGAATGGAGGGATCCAGAGACCAAAAAGGGGGTCATTTATTTTGGTTGTCTAGGGGATAAGTGGGCCAATCCTGGGTGCTATATTTGATCAATTTGGGGGAGTTGATATCCAGTGTCAAGGAGAGGGTCTTAAAAGGCATTGTAAGGGAGAGTCAACCAGCACAGAGGATTACCCATGTCGCAAATGTAGTATAAGGAGCTGATTTACTGGCATCCTATAAGGGGCATCCCCGCTAGAGTCAAAATCAGGCAGTGCCCAGTGGTAGGTTCGAGCTACAGAGATTGGTTGTCATCAATTTCTGACACTTGAGGCTCCCTTCCTGGATGGGGCCAGAGCTATGGGAGACCTTGGCCAAGGCTTTTCAGGACCCCTCCTGGAGGGGCCAGAAACTCCCAGGGCCAAAGAGAGTAGAGTGGAAGGGGAAGGTAAGCATATCTCTAGCAGATGAGTCTTAAAGGTGAGAGGACTTTATGAGGGCCACCTTGACTGTGAAGGTCTAGGTGAGGTATGATCCTCCCTCTTGGGGCCCCACTAAGGCTGTCAATCAACAGTTAGTTCTCCATTATGTGTTCCCAGAGGTTACAGTCCTTTGAAGATGATTTATAAAGTCTCTGCCAGGGAAAGAGAAGGGAAATAAGTTTGGACCTGAGAGTCAAGTGTTCAGACTTGAGTGGTGTTGAGTGTTCAGCCTTGAGGCAAACAAGTTATAAGGAACCAGACAGGTGAGGGTTGAGTGTTCAGCCCATCCCACAGCTAACATTTGTCCACCTGCAAGGTAGTACTAACAGTACTACTGTTAGTACAAGGTAGTACTAACACTACTACCTTGCATGTGGAAGGCACTGGGTTTGACACTTAACACCACATAATACTAAATAAGATAAAGGTATTGTGTCCATCTACAACTAAAAAACATATTTTAAAAATGTAAAACCATGGACTGGGCTGTAGTTTGGTGGCAGAGCACTTGCCTAGCATGAACAAGGCCCTGAGTTCAATTCAGCACCACCAAAAGAAAAGTATTAATTAATGAATAAAAATGTTTAAAAGAGAGAGAGAGAGCGCAGAGTGTGGTGGCTCATACCTGTAGCAGCTCTGGAGGCTGAGGAAGGAAGATTACAAGTTCAAAGCCAGCCTCACCAATTTAGTGATGCCCTAAGTAAGCAACTTAGTGAGACCCTGTCTCTAAATAAAATATAAAAAGGGCTGGGATGTGGCTCACTGGTTAAGAAAACCTGGATTCAATCCCTGCTATCCCATATATATATATATATATATATATATATATATATATATATATATATATATATGATTCCCTGAGAGGATAATAAATAATCCCATAAAACTTTTTATCTTGAGTGTGTGGCTAATACCAGAGGATGCAGGCTTGCATGGGGGAGAACTTTATGCAGGCTATAGGGTATATTTTATTTTATTTTTAAAAAAAATTTTAGTTGTATATGGATTCAATGCCTTTATTTGTTTTTATGTGGTCCTAGGATTGAACCCAGTGCCTCACACTTCGAAGGCAAGTGCTATACCACTGAACTACAACTCCAGCCCCTATAGGCTATATTTTAATTTTTTTTGTTTGTTTTGTTTTTACATTTCACAATCAAACAATTAAAGGTGTAGGTAGACATGACATAATTAATACTACATGACTCTGCCCCACTTTCCCTGGGCCAGCTCCGCGCTCTGAGCAAGCAGCTGTACACCACCCACCTCCCCACCAAGTATAGCAACAGTTGCTATACAGGACGTTATCACTAGACACAAAACTGCTGTGCTTTTTTTTTTATTTCCCTATATGTATTTCTTTTAATTTTTAATTTAACCTTTTGTGGTGCTGAGGATTGAACCCAGTGCCTCATGCATGCTAGGCAAGCACTCTACCACTGAGCCACAACCTCAGCCCCTGCTGTGCTTTTTTAAACACACATTTAAGAAAAAGAAAAAAGAAAAAGCAGCACAACTCGATTGGGGAAAAAAAAGACTTGCAAAACATGTTTTTGATAAAAACCATTTTAAAAAATTTTTTAGTTTATTTTTATTTTGTTATATATGACAGCAGAATGCATTATAATTCATATTACACATATAGAGCACATTTTTTCATAACCCTGGTTTTACACAAAGTGGAGTCACACCATTCGTGTCTTCATACATGTACTCAAGGTGATGATGAAGTACATGTATGAAGGCACGAATGGTGTGATTCTACTTTGATAAAACCATTTTTATGGAAAAGAAAAGGGCAGAGACTAGAAAGGATGATGCAGAAATCTAGGGAAAGCGGCCTCAGTCCCATAAGTGAAAAGTCTAAATTTTGCCAGTAAAGTACAGCAGCGGAGGCCTAGGAAGTCGCCGGGACTCACCCCCACCTGGGTGCCCAGCCCCGCCAGCACTCTCCCCCGCACCCAGAAATTCCCAGCCCTCCTCTCTCTGCCCCACCCGCACCAGCACCCACAAATTCCTCCACCCCCTACTCTCCGCCTCGCCCTCCCCACTGCTCCGGGCTCTCCGCGCCACGCCCAGCTCTCGCCAGGTCCGCGGCTCACCTGCTCCTGGCGCGCCCGCGTCCCGCGCGCGCAAGATCTCCACGCCCAGCGCCGCGCGCCCTGCCCAGCCCAGAGAAGGTCTCTGCTGCCCGCAACCCGCGACCATCCGGCACCTCTCTTCCCGCTGCTCCCACAGAAGGTCCGTGCTACCGGCCATCCGCCTGGCATCCAGCTTCCCAACTCGCCGTGCCTCCTGCCTCCTGCCTCGCAATCGGTCCTAGCTCGGTGTCTCCGCGCTCTGCCCCGCGCCGGCGGATCTTTTAAAACGCGGCCTGCACACACCCGGAGCCTCTCACGCTCCAGTATAGTCCACACATGGCTCTGGATACCCTCACCTGGCTGCTCTGTTCTGGCACCCTGGCTCTGCTTCTACTGCCCGACAGTTTCTGGGCTGCGCGGAGTGGTGAGTTCAACTTAAGATACCATTTTTAAGGGGTGACAGACAGTCACGTGACAGGTGTCACCTATGGACACCTGATGGCAGGACTGAGCCTGGGTTCCTCCTCAGGCCCCCCACCCCCCCACCCCACCCCCCACCACCCACCCCCTCCACCCCCCCCCACCCACCCCCCACCCCCCCCACCCCACCCCCCACCACCCACCCCCTCCACCCCCCCCCACCCACCCCCCACCCCCCCACCCCACCCCCCACCACCCACCCCCTCCACCCCCCCCACCCACCCCCCACCCCCTCCACCCCCCCCACCACCCACCCCCCCCCACCCCCCCCACCCACCCCCCACCCCCCCACCACCCACCCCCTCCACCCCCCCCCACCACCACCCACCCACCCCCCACCCCCACCCCCCACCACCACCACCACCCCACCCCTGCAGGCTCAGTCCCACCTGGTCCAAGTCCTCTTGTCCTGTTCTCATCCTCAGGCCATTGAGAGGAGCCAGAAAGAAAAAAGTAAGGGCAGGAGGTGGGAAGTGCAAGGGGAAAGGAGAATGCAAGTTGGCAACTTCTGGTGATCTCTCCCAGCCCCTCCGCTGTCTCCTCAAAGCAGTGCCAGAGCCACAGCCACCAGGGCCAGGTGCACAGGGTCGTGACCCCACAGGATTAGGACAACAGATATCCCCAGGCCTGGCTCTGCCCTACAGACTTTCATCTTCTGCAAACCCTTCAGCATCCCAAGGCAGTTGACCCTTGAACTTCCCACCACACTTTGCCTGGGATCTCAGCACATGCGCCCACAGAGCCTCACCAGCCACCAGCCACAATCACTTTTCTGTGATTCAGTGAGCCACCACCCAGCTCACCTCCCTTCACTCCTTTTCTCATCTAGCCACGCCCCATCCAGGGCTCCCTACCTTCCCATCCACCTAGGGACCCTAACCTCCTCCACCACCACCTGGCACCATATACCCATGCCTGAGGACACAACCGGCAAACATCCCCACCTCACCCACAGATCCTAAGGCAAGAGGAGGTGGCCCCATTTTTCCAAGTATGACCTTGGTAATGGTATAGAGCTGGGGTCATCTAAGAAACTGAGGTAGTGCAAAGACCTCCTCTTCAAACCCCAGTTCTTTTGATCAAGCCCTAAATATTTCAGACATTTTGCTCAGAGTAACAGAAATGAGTTTATTGAAGAGATAGGAAAAGGGAAAGCAACATTCTCAAGGGAGAGAGTGGGTTCTTTCAGAGTGGAAAGAGACAACCTGCCTCTCCTGTGCTCCAGTTTTACTGGGGATCCCAGGAAAGTTTCCAGAGAGTCCTGCCCAGGCCCACCTCTTGGCTTTTGACTGACATCAGGGTGACATCAGAATTTCAAGTTAGCATTTCCATGACAACTCTGTCACCTTGGCCCATGCTGACTGGTTCTAATTGGATTCTTAATTCATTTTACCCGTTTTATGGTTAGGAGGAATTATCTTTATCTTCCAAAATCTGTTCTGTGAAGGGTGATAAATTGCTCTCCCTTCAAAGTAACTTGGTTTCCTCTTATCAATGTTATTTCCTGCCTACATTTCTCGCAGATAACAGGTAGTTTGCTGAGGAATGTGACATATCCTGTCCAGTAGAGTTAGATAAATTGCTTTTTAGCAAAAAAAAAAAAAAAAAAAAGCTAATTCTTTGCTAAAGATGTTAAGAGAATAATAATTCTATAAAATGTTCCACTGTGGAACATTTTATAGAATTATTCTCTTAACGTGTTCCCACCATCCTCATCTGTTTGTCTAACAGCAAAGGTGCATCTATACATTTCTGTTGTGGGGCAATCTATAGACCTTGGATCCTAGGCCCATATAGTCTATCTCTTGGGGATCCAGCATCATATAATGGTATAAAGTAGGCATGAGTTGCAGACAGTAAAGGCAGACAGTAAGCACTTTCAACTCTGCAGGACACATTATACCTGTCTCTATATCAAGTACTCAATTCTGCTTTACTGTGAGAGGAACTAAAGACAACATGTAAATGAATGGGGCACTGGATTTGCCCACTGTCCTAGTCATCTGACTCTAGATTAGAGTGTCTCCAGTGTTGGTGCCCATTCCCAGGTTGTCTTCCCCAAATAGTTCTTCAGATGCATATTTCATAGGGAGACGCAGGTCCTATGTTCCTGTGGCTTCAGGTTGGACTGGTTTTTAGGAGGGGTTCCTGTAGATTGGGGCTGACTGTCCCCCAAAACACACCATTTGCTACCCAGTGGATTCCTTGGTTCATTGGGCAGTAGGGTACCTTTCTGAAGTCACAGGTGTGAGCTGGGGTGAGGTGTTGCACTAAGTAGAGGACAAATGTGTGTCCTCCAGGATGAGATACTATTTAAACAAACTGCCTGGGCAAGGCATTGTCAGAAGATTGTACTTGGCCTTCACTACTGGGGGAAGCCCTGACCTCACAAGTGACTCACTAAGCCCATGGATGATTCATTTCAGTTACAAATTGAGAGAATTTCAAATGACCATTGAGTGGATCTGTGGCCCAAGACCTCTGTGAGCAGGACCTGAGACAGGTCCATTCATTCCTGGCCCCACATGCACCTACCTTGTCAGTACCAGGAGGCCATGTGATACTTCAGATGCCTGGGCATGAGGGCAGCTCACACTGCCTCCAGGATGAGTGTCTGCATGTTTTCTCTATCTCTATGCACACAGACCCAAGTGAATGGGTGGATGGCCTTGTGGGACAGGCTGAAAGGGGACACTGACTGGCTCTGTGGTTGAAGGGTCCCTCCTGATAGGACCCTGGCCTCTCCTCCTAGGAATGAGTTCAGGCTCTGAGACATGGCTGAGGTCTGGAAACTGAGCAAAGAACCAGACTTTGGTGGGTGTTATCTTTCAGCTTCCTGATCATCCATCCTTGGTTTTGCTTTACCTCTTGAAATCAGGCAGCATCTGGGTTGCCTGCCCAGATGCTTTGCCATGAGGTACCCTGTGATCTCTCAGCCCAGGCTAGCTTTCTGCTTCTAAGAATGTGCAGACTCTTTCCTTCCACCTGTTCATCACGTCCATTTGGGTTCTGTGTTACCAGAATTTTTCTTCTCCATTACTTGCTCAGAGCCCAGTTCTGGAATTCTGTCACCCAGCAAGCACCTAGGCCCTTAGCAGTCATCATCAGTGACCTCCTAGACAATGTTGGTGCCCTTCTTGCCAGGTTTTTTATTTTGTTTTATTTTTAATTGCTATATAAACAAAAATTATATATAAAAGGAGGTGCCATGTGAAGTTTTAATATACTGTGTGAGGTTTAAATCATGTTAAATGTATCTGTCGCTGCAAGCATTTATCATTTCTTTATAGTGAAAAAGTTCAAAGTCCTTTTTTTTAGCTACTTGAAATACACAGGACTTTGTTGTAGTCTATAGTCACCCCACTGTGCCATAGCACACCAGAACTTTTTACTCCTACATAACTGTAACTGTAACTTAGAACCCATCAGTCAACCTTTCCAACCCTCCTTTTTCAATTACCATATACAGCCTCTGGTAACCACTATTCAATTCTCAACTTTTGGGATCAACTTTTTGGATTCTATCTCCAAGTGAGATCATATGGTACTGGTCTTCCTGTGCTTGACTTACTTCCTTAACATGATGATCTCCATTTCCATCAATTGTGTTGAAGATGACAGGATTTTGTCCATTTTATGGATGAATTGTATTCCAGTGTGTGTTATGTATCACATGGTCATTATCCGTTCATCAGTAGATTGTTTCTGTTCTTTGGCCTTTGTGAATAGTGCTACAATAAACATGGGAGTGCAGGTGTCTTTGATAGACTATATTTAATTCCTTTGGCTATTACCCAGTACAAGAATTCCTGGATCGTATCCTGGTGTTATTTTTTTTAAATATTTATTTAATATTTATTATCACAACATCTTTGTTTGTATGTGGTGCTGAGGATCGAACCCGGGCCACACGCATGCCAGGCGAGCACGCTACTGCTTGAGCCATATCCCCAGCCCCTATTTTTTAATTTTTTGAGGACACTCCATACTGCTTTTCCTAGTGGTTCTATGAATTTTGACATCCCCACCAACAGTATATAAGGGTTCCAAAGCCAACACTTATTATCTTTTGTGTATTTGATAATGACCATTCTTAGTGGAATGAGATGATATCTCATTGTGGTTATGATCTGCATTTCAAAGACAATTTGTGGTACTGAGTACTTTTGCTCATGCCTGTTGGCATTTGTGTGTTTCTTCTGAAAAATGTTTGTTCAGGTTTTTCTCCATTTTGTAATCAAGTTGTCAGGTTGTTATTTTTTTTTTTTTTTGAGTTCCTTATGTAGTCTGGATATTAACCTTTCATCACATGTGCCATTTACACACATCTTCTTCCACTCAGTATAGTGTCTCTTCACACTGAAAATTGTTTCCTTTGCTGTGCAGAAGCTTTTTATCCTGGTCTAAGTCCAGGTCTTCTGGAATGGTCTAGTGAGGATGCCTAAAGATATGTTCCTCATAAAACCATTGAGAACAGGTACAAATGTTTTCAACAGTCAGCTTTGTCAGGCCTCTGAAAGTTTGCCAAAATTTACACCAATGTGAGGAGCATTTATTTAAGAAAAATGGCCAAATTTCAGTAAGAACACTGAGATTTATGGCATGCTAACATGTCCCATCCCCATCCCCCACACCCATCTTGGAAGTAGTCTGGAAAAGGAGCAATTGCACAACCTTCTAGGAAATCTAACATCCCAGCCCAGAAGGTGCACTCTGGCTTTGGTGCACTCTGGAGTTGGTGCACTATGTAGTCAAATAATGATGAGCCCCCATTCATAGGGCTCATCATTATTTGACTACATAGAACTCATTCTTGGAAGAAGAGGGCAAGGGGAATCTCTACAGCAACCTTGTTATATATATATTACTTGTAGATGGATATAATAACTTTAATTTAATTATTTATTTGTATGTGGTGCTGAGGATCAAACCCAGTGTGTCACA